TGAGGTCGCCGATTGGTCATTTGCTGACACGCCTACTGGATTGATTGACAGGTCGGAAAACAGAAAAAAGAGCGAGCGCTGGCAGCCTCCGTCGCAGCGGTGATCTGTGTTTATATGTCGTTAATAAAAAAGATCTAAAAAATAAAAAAAACAGAGAGCGCTGGCTCTACAACCCACACATCAGACCAGACCACCAGGAAATCTCCAGACCCTCTCGCAGCCACGCTAGACCTGAGTTTAATTCGCTCATGACAAATTCCTCCATTTCTCACCATTTCAATCATGGCATCAACAGAGGAGGAAGAGATCACTGCCTCTTGGCAAAAAAACAAAAGAAAAGGCCAGATCAGGGATGAAGAAGGGGAATTTAACACATTGGTGTCGCATACAAAACAGTCCGTCGCTGGGCAGTTTATTGTGCGACACCGCATACGCGTATGCGGTCGTAAAAATTTGAGCTTTGCACAGAGGGTACGCTGGGGGGTACGCTCGTACCTCTGCGTACGTACGTGCGTACCTCTGCGCATGAATGTACGCGGCAGTATACTGGGGGCTTTATACACATCAAACATTTCTTTTATTGTATTTTTAATAAATAATCAAATTTTATTAATGACCTTCTTAAACTGTCAAACTGATTTGCAATTTAGTTGTGCTGTTTAATTCCATTTTCGAGTTTTTTAATAAAATTGCTGTATGGGTTCCAGTGTTTTCTCTCCACAGACTCTTGAGCTCCTGCATCTAAGTTAATCACGCTCAGCTGCTGGCCATCTCCCTAATTGTCCGGAGGAATGCTTCAAAGACAGGCCTCCAGGAAAATAAGAGGGTGCAGACGTGCTTCATCCAGTTCCAGAGCATATCTTGCTGAGGGTACTTGTGCTCCTGGCCTTTTAGTGTTTATGTCTTTGAAATACTTACCTGTGTGTTTCTTTTGATTCTGACAGACCTTGGTTTCCCTGCGCTTCAGTCCTGGATAGGGCTGGGCATCGAGGATTGAGAATCGACTGGAACTGGGACTAAATGTCAGACTTTCCCAGAATCATTCAAAATATTTATTTTCAATTCCTACTTTCGATGCCTAGTCCGCCAACTGGAAGTAGAAGCCGCCCACCGAACACCAACGAAGATGAAGCTGCCCGCCAAAAACCAACGAAGAAGAATCCACCGCAAGTGTTCCCATACATGGAGAGTGAGCAGCCGTGGTCGAAAGCGTGGCTTAACTTTAATAAAATGACCAGGCAGCTCAGTGCAGCACTTGCAATAATTTTATATCCTGCAAAGGAGGGTGTAGAAGTAAAAGTGTGGCCCGTCTTTGAAGCGCTCCACCGGACTGTTTTTGCTGCCTCCTTCTCCAGCTCCATCACGTAAATAAACCACGTCTTATACCAACATTAAGGCAGCTAACAAGTTATACTCGACTTAAAGCGGTGGGTCAACTCAAATGCAAACACCCTGCTCGTATTTTTTTCATAGACAAACGACCCAAAATGGTTAATATTGTTAGACTGATGTGCTCCTTCGTTCACCATAGCATCCAAGGGAAATACGTCAGTGCAACTGAATGAAGAGTGCCACAGAACGGTTACAGCATATATTGTGAAAAGATTCATCCCTTTTCAGATGTGGAATCACCAAAATTTAGGTTAGTTAGGCAACAACAATAGAGCTAAGCTAATTAATAGTCCATCCTAAGCTAACGTTACAGTAACAGTGACATTACATGTTTGTTTATACGTTCGCAGGGACACGGTGAAAACCATCAACCCAAGTACACACCACCTACCATGGACCACTTGTCAAATAAGTTATTCCCATCTTGGTATAAGGTGGAGAAGTCCACTGTAACTACAGCTGCTCTGCACTTTAAACAGAAGATGGATGACGTGTCTGGCAGCAGATCCAGAGAAAGATGATTGAGCAGGTGAAATGTCATTCACACCTGTCCTTCTCTGCTTTAAAATCTGAAATCTAAATACTAGTAATGTTCTTTATGGTCAACAGAGGAAGACTGTGGAGATGATGGGGTCACCATACAGTCTGAGGAAAGGCCTGAGAATGAGGGAGTGGAGGATGAGGAGGGGAGTGTTTGTATGATAGCTGAAATCATATAGATTCTCAATCTTAATAACGATCATGCCTTTAATAATCCCATTTTACTGATAATATATAGGTTTAGACTGCTGGAGGACAACCTGACACACATTCCTCTCTCTGCTGCCGTCTTCACTTACTCTGTTCAACCTGTTTGTATTTGTAATTATTTCTATCTTGTTGTTTTTGTCTTTCCTCCTATAGAAAGTTCACCTGCACCTGTCATCCTGTCTGTCTCTCCTTCCTGTCCTCTCAAAGCAGCCGGTTGAAGCAGGTGGCCTCTCATCCTGAGCCTGGTTCTGTTGGAGGTTTCTTCCTGTTGAAAGTGAGTTTTTCTTTCCACTGTCTCCTTTGTGCTTGCTCAGGATGGGAAACTGCAACAAAGTGAAGATTCAACACAATCTGCTGCTTCTTTAGATAACTGTTATTAATTGGCTTTTATAATGTATGTGAATGTTTTTGTACAGTGTCCTGAGACGACTTCTGTTGTGAGGAGGTCCCAACAGAAGTTGGGAGTCGACGGGGGAGAGGGCGGGCCCCAGAAACCATCTTATCACCAGTAAACGTCCACTATGGGAGTGTGCTGCTTGTGGGACTCAGTTTGTTGTGGCTCCTCGGACTGATGAAGTCCTTTGGATGAAGGACGAAACGTCTCGACAACAAAAGAAAGAACCATCCAGATGAGCTGACTGAACATTGTTGGACTTCTGTTGTGACTGGCACCATATAAATAAACTGGCACCATATAAATAAACTGCATCATTCTTAGATCCTCTTTTAGCAGCAATAACTCAGTGAACGTGGTTTTCTGTAGGACTTTATCAGACTCTCACATGGAGGAACCATGACCCACTCTTCTTTGTAACGTTGCATTTGCTTCAGCTCTCTGAAGGTGCCACCACAGCATCTGGATCAGGTCTGGATCATTTCAACCGCTATATTTTTTCATTTGAGCCGTTCTGTTGTGGACCTGCTGCTGTGTTCAGGATCCAGGTGGGTCCAGGCTTCAGCTGTAGGACAGATGGGCTCACATGTGGCCCTTATGGTCAACTCAATGACTGAGTCCAGGTCCTGGACAAGTCCACTCCACCAGCCCTCCTCTACTGTGCAGACATGCAGTATGAGGTGTTTGTGCTGATAGTCTGCAAACATGCTGCTGTGCATTATGGGTAAACATCTCTGCTTTGGTCTCATGCGTTCAGCCATGCTGTGATAAGACACGTGTCATGTAGAAGCTGTGGTCAGGAAACACTTCTACACGTTCTTCTACAGCCTGAAGATACTTAGTGGGGTTTTCTGCTCAACATTATGTTTGTAACGTTAAAAATCAACAAGCTTCAAGTCTCCTGCTTCTTTCTGCCATATTTATACGAGGTTTTCAGAAAAGCTTCCATAAAGCCTCAACTTTTTACTTTTCTGTTCGTGAACTTTGACCTTTGTCTTGTAAGTATAAGATGGAGCTCAGAGATGGGTTATTGTCATGTCTCTGAGTGATGCACAGTCTGACCTTGGGGTGAATTTGCTGAAAAATCTACTCCTAGAAGAAAAATGGCAGCTGTCCTAAATGTTTTCTGCTTGTGAAAAAAGTCTTCACGGTACAGTTCCTTACTAACACGAATAAGGTCTTTACATCAGGCCCTGTAAGGCTTTGGACGGTTCTACAAACAGAACCACACGTGCATCTCTCTAAAACCCTGATCCATTCAGACGTGCACGTGGAATCCACGTGCTTAGTATCATGGTGAAACTGTATAAATGTAGATTTTAACTATTTCTGCTTCAAAAAGGAGACATAACTAAAACAAACATGTTTGTATAAATCTTTGTTAAAACAAGTTCCACTTCTCCTGAAGGATGTGATCAGTAAAGAAACGCACCGAGACGATTCTGTACACGTCGACGGTGGGACAACATACAGGTGCGCTGCAGAGCAGGGGGGTCCACACTTCATCATGGAGCTTCTTTTAAAATGACCAAGTCAAAGTGATCTACCTGCTGTACGGCCCTGTTTACACCAGAACAACCTCTGGAAACATTGGTGTTGTTTCAGTGTTTATTGGGGTAATAACAAAAATTGAGTGGGTTTACACAAGAACGCTGTAGTTTCAATGTCTGTTGGGTTGCCAGATAATAGATGATGAACTATAGTACTGCGGCTTTAAAATGATAGTATTTTGACCTAAACTGTGATATGTGCTGAGTAAAGATGTGTAAGATGAGGTGTGTGCATGATCCCAGTTAGTCCAAACTGGTGAATCCACCAACGTCTCTTTGGAGCCTGGATTTTATTGGTTTTGCTCCTAAGAAAAACTTTGGACTGCAGCCTGTAGTGTGCATGTGCCACTTCACATTTCGTTGGAGGGATTCCCCCAAGAATCTCCACTCTGAGACCTGGATTCAGAAACCTTCAGTTTCAGAGAGAATGAGGTTGTTGAACGCAAGTGAACGGCCGAACGTTTCACGTCGTATAAACGGGGCCTCAGACTGGCTGTCGCCTGTCAATCAAGAGACAAATTTCATAGATGACAGGTTGACATCTATTTTTTAATGTCATACCATCTACCCATAATACCTTGTGGGTGGCTGTGGCTGAATGGTTAGAGCAGTCGTCCTCCAATGCGAGTTGGGGGTTCAAACCCCACAGCAGTCACATGCTGAAGTGTCCCTGGGCAAGACACTGAACCCCTCATAGCCTCTGATGTGTGTCCCATCAGTGTATGAATGTGATGTGAAGCTCTGATTAGTCTCTTTAGAATGATTTGTTCCATTAGCTTTGTAGAGATCTAGTATAGAGCTGTATGAATGGGTAAATGAGGACACAGATTGTTGTAAAGAGCTTTGAGTATCTTGATAAGATAGAAAGGTGCTATATAAGTACAGTCCATTTACCATTTATCTTTAAAATGTTGGTAGAGTAAACAAAATCAAGGCCAACACGGTTGTTCTTTTTGTAAACAACAGATTTTTATCCACTTCTTCCAGTCTCTTCAGACAGTCCGAGCAGCTGAGCGCTGTTCGTGTCAGGCTGCAGACGACACGAGCTGAGCGATCTTCTGCTGCAGCACAGCCTTCATCTCCTGGTTGTCCAGGTTATCAGTGATGGTGGAGAAGAAGTGGCGGGTGTTGTCGCTCTCTGCAGGGCTGCAGCTGTCTGGGAAGGCGGCCATGATGGCCTCGTAGTGACTGAGAATCTCCAGACTGCACAGGAACAGAGGCTCCGACCGGCCTCCTGGCATCATCACCTGCAAACATCACAAAGTCCTCAGCTGCAGCGCAGAGCCATAACACATCACAGTCATGCTGGCCCCTAAGAACAAACGCATCGATAAACTTTATTTTGACTTGCTGCATCAACTTAAATCTACAAAACATATTTTAGACATTTTGAAGGGATTGAAGAATAATTTGAATATTTGACAAAAATAGTTGTTAGATTAAAATGAGTTTGTAAAAAAATACTGAACATTAAAAAAATTTGAGACGCCAACTGACAGATGAACATTTTGTAGAAAAATCTTTAAAGAGCTTAAAATTCAAACCGCAATTGTATAAAAATAACTCAGTATAAATAAAAATAACTGTTGTTATTTTATTATAACTGTTGTTATTTTATTATAACTGTTGTTATTTTATTATAATTGTTGTTGTTGTTTATTATAACTGTTGTTCTTTATTATAACTGTTGTTATTTTATTATAACTGTTGTTATTTTATTATAACTGTTGTTGTTTATTATAACTGTTGTTTATTAAAACTGTTGTTGTTTATTAAAACTGTTGTTATTTATTATAACTGTTGTTATTTATTAAAACTGTTATTTATTATAACTGTTGTTATTTATTATAACTGTTATTTATTTATTATAACTGTTGTTATTTATTAAAACTGTTATTTATTATAACTGTTGTTATTTATTATAACTGTTGTTATTTATTAAAACTGTTATTTATTATAACTGTTATTTATTTATTATAACTGTTATTTATTTATTATAACTGTTGTTAGACCAGAAAAACTTTGGACTCCAGCCACCTGGAGTGCACATGTGCAACTTCACACTTGGATCATTTCACACCTCCGTTTGTGTGTGTGTGTGTGTGTGTGTGTGTGTGTGTGGGGGTTCCCTGTAATGTGGCTGTTGTCTGTAAATGAAGGGCGGAACGTTTCACGTCGTGTAATCGGGGCCTCAGACTGGCTGCTCCGTCTGTCAATCAAGTGACCCATTACATAGTAGCTATGTTTACATGGACATAAATTATCGGATTAAACGTCCATTTGGAATAAAAATGTGTCGTGTAAACGCCCATTCAGATTATTCTGAGCTGATTCAGCTCGATCCAAAAGAATTTGTAATCAGAATGAGACGGGTGATGTATGCCGATTCATAATCCAAAACGTGCGCATGCAAACACTTAATCTGTTCATTTTTTTCCGATTGTGGAAAACTGACCTGACTGCACATGTGCGACCTTATGTCATTTCCACCTGGCTAATGCTAATAGTATTAGCATGTCGGGGAAGTAAAACTGGTCGGTGAGCGACAACATTTCTACTAGAAACTTTGAAAGAGCTCAAAATGATCTGCATCACCTGCAGCTCAGTGATGGAGTGCAGCAACGTCTCCATCATTAAAACCTGCCGCGGGTCCATTTTGGGTGCTCAGGTTTGTTTACGTTCATCCCAGAAGTAGAACAGAAGTAGAACTTCTTCTTCTGTGTTATTTTAAAGAGAGTTGACCACTCTGCACACGTCAGTACTGCTGTTCAGAATCTAACTCGGTTGCATGTAAAGACTCGTCATGAACAGTTTGTGCCCATATTAACGATACATTTGAACTATTTAATCTGAAAACATTTCAATCCGGTCACAGAATTTTGCGCATGTAAACAGTGAGGATGGATGATAAGATGACGTCTGTTTTTGAACGTCATGAGGTCTACTCAGCCTTTGAGATCCACGTATGGGGCACCCCTGGTTTAGTGTATATGTTACATCATTATATACGGTTTCTTTTTATACTTTACTATTTTAAGGTGTAACTGGGACCCTGAGTTGTTCCACCTCATGCGCCACACGTGATGGAAAGGACAATAAACTTGATTTGAACTTGAAAGCCATCAACGTTTTAAAGAGATTGGTCTAATCGTCCGACTTCTGTGATGTGTTTAACCTTCAAACGATGCTCTGGGGGAGGCTGTGGCTCGGTGGTTAGAGCAGTGTTCTAACGAGAGGGTCGGAGGTTTGATTCCTGCTGTGTGCGATGTACCGAACGTCCTCACTGCTCCGGACTGCTAAGAGACGGCGCTGGTCCTCAGTGTTCCTACCTGGATGTGCTGAACGTGGCAGAAGAGCTGGCTCAGAACAAAAAGAACTTCCTGGCTTGGCGCCGTGCCCACTTCCCCCTCAGGTTTTGACTCTGTTAATTTCCCAGGAGGGTTTTCTGCGTCCATCAGAGGACCTGTAGACATTTTAGGAGCTCTGAGAGAAGAAGTGGAGTCTCTGACTGCTGGTGGAGCTGCAGAGGCAGGAGCAGCAGCTGGCGAGGGAACGGACAGTTTGCTTTTCACCGAGCTCATCGTTTCCCTCACAGCCTGAGCGTACAGCCTGCCCACGTGGGCCCAGCCCTCGGCTGACAGCCAGCCGGAGCAGCTGGAGCCACAGAGCAGCTGAAGGGCTCGAAGCAGCAGGACCGACAGGCGCAGCTCACATGAAAACTGTCTCAGGTCCAGCAGGGGCAGGTAGTCCACGTACTCCAGAGAGAAGGGGACGCTCAGGCGATGGGAGACGATCAGCTCCTTCAGGACTCTCAGCAGTCGGCTCCACTGGGAGACGGAGCACCAGGGGAGGGTCTGCGTCAGGGTCACCAGCAGACCCTTACTGAACATGCTGACGTGGTCGGGCCGGTGCTGGTCCAGAGACAGATGGGACAGCATGATGGACTGCAGGGGATCGGACACAGAGCAGCACTCCATCCAGGCCAAAAGACCCGTGCCCTGGCTGTACTGAGGCAGGTCCAAGCCTGACCAGTCCTACAGGGGAGACACATCACAGACACACCACTGAGTCATCCTGCGTCCATCTGCAGGAAGTTCATCCTGACTGCTCACTCAGGACAAGCTGTCTGAACCAGAGGCCTCTGCTGGACACAAGACAAGTTGACTTTCATTTTACACATTTGTTAATACTGTTATTATGAGACTATTTTTATATTTTATGTTTTACATGAATCAGTTTTGCTTAGCAAGAAGATCAAAGAGTTTTAAAAGAGAGCAAACATGATCAAACATCAGATCTGCGGCTCATAAAATGGAGCTTAGAGCAGTGTTTCTCAAAGTGGGGAGGGGGGGGGGCTGCGGCCCCAAGGGGGGCACTAGGGGGCCTCAGAAAGCTGGAGAAAAGATTTTAAAAAAGCAGCTTTTTTAATTTAAATTTTAAAATGTTTAAATTACTGTAATCAAATCCAATGTATTTTTCAATAATTATTTTAAAATATATTTTCTAATAATATATTGAAATATTTTTCACCATCCAACATTTTTCAGTCAGGTCATCTGGACAGTTGCTGTTGTCCACATGACCTGACTGAAAAATGTTGGATTGTATACGTGGATTATTGAGCATGGACTTTGTTGGTTTTGTTCTCCATGCTCATCTTTCTGACTGGCTGCCAGTCACGTGCATCAAGCTGCTTTACTCCTCAAGCGTAACAAGGAGAAGAAGGAGCCGACCAGCAGCTGCAATCTGAAGCTATGAAGCAAACATCAAGTCGGGCTTTACAGTCGCACAGAAAATGGCCATGATTGACCCAAATGTGTCCTCTGTGTGGACACGTCACAAACGAGTGTTTAAAACCTGTTGGTTAAAAACACCTTGATGCTCAGCAGCTGGAACAATTAATAGAATACAGTGAATACAAGTTAAAACATTCTAAAAGTTAACGTTAAATATTTTGTAGCATTGTTTGTGGGTTTGAGAGGGGGGTCTCAGCCAGAAGCTAATGCTGTTTGGGGGGGCCATGGCATGGAAACGTTTGGGGACACCTGCCTTAAAGGACGACTAAAACAATTAATTCAGAATTCTAACAGTTCTGAGAACTTCTAACGCTCTAACGTCGTAAACGTGACAGAGAATTTGTGGATTAAAAGCTGAGTTTGTGCAGAAACCGAGCGATTTAGATGAACTCAACTGGTTCTACTAAGAAGAAGGAGAAGAGTTAAATATCAACCAGTTATACCAGAAACTGATCCCAAACCAGTGAAAACCACAACTGATCCAATATTACATGTGGTGAACGTCTAGGATGAGCAATGATTTGAAGGCAGTGGTTCGTCTACCATTGTACAAGCAGGGCGCCCCGCCCTGTCAACAGAACTGAACAGAGGTTGGACTCCACCAGTCCACAGTCAGACTGATTGTGTACAAAC